AGAAGATATCATTTTATGAATGATTCACAAAAAAAATAACAAAATTAACAATAGAAGATATCATTTTATGAATGATTCACAAAAAAATAACAAAATTAACAAAAAAAAAATTATAGAAATAAATTAGAAAAACAGAGAACATGAAACACATCAGTGACTCATTATCCATAATCGAGGGAAAAATATTACATCAGAACTCCTGACGTAGAGCGTTCGGAATCAAATGAAATGACGCCACGTAGAGGTTACAGAAAAATTTTATAAAAATTATTTTAGTGCAGGGAAATATTTCTTCAGTGTTATTCCACATTATTCATGTGTTATTATGATAATATTCTTGTGATATTATGTTATGAGAATATTCTCGGTGTTAACACATCAATTCCACCATAATAACATATGAAAAATGCGAAACAACACGAGATAAGTATGCTCCTGCGTTATCGGGCCGAATCATAGGAAAACACACATGTTTCCTTGAAGACATGTGTCCTCATATCAGTGAAATCCGAACGTATTAGAAGTCCTGGTGTAATATTTTTCCACAATGGAGCTACAACGTTCCTGACAACATATATATATATACAAACAAATAATGTTATCATCTTTTGGATAAGATTTCAACTTATATATCTATACATATACCCCACAGAATTTGCGTATTTTATTTTATTTATTTTTTTCTTTTGGAGAAAATGCCCAAAACCATGTCACCATTTCATTCACATGTTTGAATTATTCTTTGGAGAAAATGACAAGACATCTATTTATGGAATGAAGTGTTGGTCTCAGAGTGCTCCCATTCTGTAAGTCATTGATGTTCAAACAAAGAATTTGTTACATGCACTCCAAGAAAGTTATGATAATTATTTCATTTATAATCTAATCATTAAACATTTATGATGATCTTTTTCTATAATTATTTCATAAATTAAATGAAACTCATCCGCATGGCGATGTGCAACGATCCATGTTAAAAGGTTCCTAAATCATTCGAAATCGAAGCGACTACGATGTTTTTCGAAACTAGGAGGCATTTTTTATTTTTCTATTTGTTCCTTAAGTTAATTTTAAGTTTATATACACATTTGATGGAGAGAACATTACATCAGGACTTTTAATGCAGCTTGTGTTTGGAGTCCAATAGTGGGCCCCACGTGTTAAGTAGATCTCATCGTAATACAGTGATATTGGCTGGTGTTAAAAACAGTGAATCCCACTTGACATGTGGCTCCCCACTCCGAATGCATTAGAAGTTCTGATGTAATATTTTTTCTATTCGATGATTAAGCTTTAATAAATATAAATTGTTTGATTAAAAAAAGACTTTTTTTTTACTCATCTCATTATTATATTATTTCATGGTACATTGTTTTCTCGTCTAAATTATCTTGTTATGTCAGTTGATTCCAAATTATCTTATTACGGAGTTATTACTATTTATTGCAGAAATATATTTATTTTTTATTTCAATTATTTTAAGGAACCTTCTGAGTGAAAAAATAAAACAATCTCGCTTAATATTGGGAAATTCTTGTCTACTTACTATTTATTGCACAAATAGACTCTTTTTCGTTGAGTGGATTTGAAGGAAAAACTGATTTGTGATATCTATTGACATCGATAATTAGTTCAAAATTTGTTTTTTTTTTTCTTTGTTTTTTAATCTTCTATTCAAGGAAGCGATTATTAGGATCCGTTTGGGGCAGCTTATTTGGTGCGTTGACGTTTTGAAAACTCACATGAATTGTTTGGGCAAACTGTGTTTTGAAAACACTGAAAGCAGTGTTTTCTTACTGTACCTGACAGCTTTCTGGCAGCGTTCAGGCTTTTCCAAAAAAAATAAAAATTTATAATAGCCACCGCATTTAGTTTTTCAGCAGATTATTCAATAAGCTGTAGCCTTAAATCACTGCAAAACAAATAGCCCAAGCCATTAGAACACTTAAAATTAAAATATTGATTATTGTCAAACTATTTAATAGTTAATTTGCACACTAAAAAAATAGATAAATGAAAAAAGGCTTTTTGCATACATACCACATAAGAATATTTACATATTCTACATCTAATTTATATATATATCCCTCAAATTTCTAACATCACACAAAAATATCACTATTATAATATTATTTACTTTTTAAATTCAAATAATGTTTCAATACAACCTAAAATGGGCATTTACATACATACCCCCAAATTCCTATCTATTTACATATCTACACTTAAACATTATGTTTTTTACATTCATACCATCAAAATATTTGATTTTACCAAAAAAATACTACTATTTTAGCTTTGGAAAAGTGAAATATATCTTATCAAGCATGGGTAAGGTGTTATGCACATAAAAAGTGGAAATATATCTTATCAAGCATGGGTAAGGTGTTATGTACATAAAAAGTGTTAGTTTAGGCATTAGATACGTAAATACATAAGAATTAAATGGTTTTTATGTAACTCTTCCAAAAATACATAATAGAAAATTTTGCATACAAATTCTTATGTATTTGCATATCTCATAGTTAAGAAATAGTTTAAACATTGACATAAAAAATTTCATTTTTAGAAATTGATATATAAATATGGAAGTATATATGTTAGATATGCAAATATTAAAATTTAGGTGTGAAATATATCAATACATAATAATTGTGTGCTAAATAGGTAAATGACGCCAGAATAATATTCAGAGTTCTCTATAAAAGGAAGCATTAGAGCAGGCGCAGCGGAAGGAAGAATACCGGAAGGTAAAATGCTAATCTTAGACCTAGGGATTTGGATGATTCCTTTCACCCTTCTTCTAGCTCCATGCCGACGGTTCGTCCTCCTCGTCGCCAAGCTTCAGCAGCTTCTCGCCACCCTGATGAACCCGCCTTCTTCCATCCCTATCATCTTGAGCAGAATGTCTAACCTCAATTACATTTCATTCACCATTTGAGATTCATCGCTTATGGGCCAATTTTTTCTGATGGTTCAAGTGTTTGAAAGTGATTATGAATGGTTCCGAAAGTGAGTTTTTGTCTGTAATTTGTTTGGTTTTTGTTATGTGATCTGTTCATAGTCTTTTGATCGGCACTCTGAATTTTCTTCATTAAAATGTTAGAATCTCATTCCGATCTCATCTGTTTCAAATAGTTGAGGCAGCAGGAAGTTGCTGTCAGATCAAATTCTTCATAGCAGTTAAAAGGATGTCCTGTTGTTGTTGATCTGGTTTTTTTTTCTTTTTTTTAGAAGAAAGAAGAAGAAGAACTTTATTTCTCTTGTTCGTTTTCAAATTGTTGCTGCAAGAGCGAGGTGTTAGAGAACAACAGATGAACAACGAAGCGCTATTATTGAAATTTGTAGAATTGTGTATGGTGATGAATGTGGATGTTTATGATTTAATTTCGCATTTTTTTTTCATGCAGCAGTGATAATTAAGGGTATGTTTGGGACGACTTATAAGTGTGGGTGACGTTTTTAAAATGCCGTCGTACCGTTTGGTTCGCGTGTTTCGCCAGCTTATCCAAAACTGTGTTTGGATTTTTACACTAAACGCAGGCCGCGGGTCGACCTCTGCGGCCGGCTAGCGGGCCGCGTTTCAGGATAAGCAGCTTATCGTGAAACGCACAAGCTGCCCTAAACGGATTTATTTATTTATTTTTCAAATTA